ACCAATAGTCTTTGAAAGGGAGGAGTCTTAGATAACGTCTAGACTAATCCAAAGGCCACACGCGCGCACTGTCGTTCGACCGTCACGAGCTGGGGCTCGGGTCGTGGGCGTGTGTCAATATTAATTTAAATTTTTATTGGAATTCAATTAATTCCCTATCTTTGACAGTATATTAACCATCCCATCAGTTTGTTAAAACTGTGCGTTAAGTGGGCGTGAGTGGAGAGTTGTATGGAAATTGCTCAACCGTCATCTCTCTCCTCTATTTAAATGGTCATCAAGCTTTCATCTAAATATACAGAAAAATCACGAATTCATTCTGCATATATACTCATCTTCTCGTTATTCCTTTCTGCATTAGTTTATAGAGAGTACTTCCGGTTCTGATTCGTTGTCTTGCAGTCGAATTGTTGTTTTTGCAAGTGTCTGATTGTCCTATCTTGGGATATTCTTTACCACATATCGTAAGCACTGTATCACGGGGTAAAAAAACGTTTTAAGGACAGAGAGCCTAGTTTTCGTCTCGATCATCCTTATTCCGAATTCTGGTCTTGCTTATGCATATCGTTCTTACTATTTTGCAATTGTCAATCTGTTTTAGCAAGCCATCTTCTGGAAATTTTATTCTATGCAACCAAAGAAAATAACAAAAAGAAAAAAATACACTTTGAAGAAATTGAGGAAACGTTTCTATTTCATTCAACCATATTTCATATAAACGTATATGATGGTTCATAAGAGATGGACTAAGGCAATAATATTATTACATAGAGATAATGAGTTACAAATTAGCAAAAACATAATTTGTGTATAGTTTGTTATGTCAAACTGATACTAGTAAGTGGAATCACTTAATGAATTTTTACGAAAAATCTGAGTATTACTACAAAATTATCGTTAGATTATGATAATAAAATACAACCAGAAGTAGGCACTTCATTTGCCACGTGATTGTTCCATGAGTTTTGACAAACGAAAGTTAATTTATATATGGACGAGATTCAAATTTGTGAGTCTTTGTATGGTTCTAATACAAAATTGATTTCATGTACCATCCACGTCATTAACTTGCTAGTTTCTGTCATATCATTACCACGTAGGCACTCTATTTGTCACATAAATTGTTCCGTTCATTTTGATTGATAAAACTTAATTCCTGTACGAATGAGATACAAAATCTTGAGTTCATGTATGATTTTGATACACGAGATGAAGTTCATGTACCGCTTGCTTAATACCTTCAAATTACCAAGGTATGGTCTTATAATTAAGGGAAAATTGTACTTCTCATTTTAAACATTTATTTCTCAACAACACGTTGTTTAAACTCAACTTTTTATTTTTTAATGGCATTGTCATCGTGACATTATCCTTTCTCACTCTCGAATTCAATTCACATAAAAACATGTAATTGTCTGAGAGGGTGTATTGAGCGTAGATTGTTAAAGACTTTTATGGAATTAAAACAAGGGTTATCTTCAACATCTAACCCCAAACCATAGCTGCCACAACCACTAACACTCTTGCCTCCACCATGCTTTCAGTTCCCAAGCACCGTCCCCAAACCAAAATCCAAAACTTTAGGCCACAATAATATTTTCAAACTAATTGTAATCATATTAATACAATGTACCAAACATATCATTACTGCTGAATGTAAGTGCTAAACGAGATATTACGTATACGGAATCACTAAGATTGTTATGGAGCAAACAAGATACTAGAACTGTTCTGATATCACTTGTTATGGAACAAACAAGATACTAGAATTTCTTTGATACCATTTGTTATGAATTTAGATCACAAGATAATGACGATAGTGAAATAAACAAGAATATATAAATCCTAAAGAATAAGTTGTAAAAGAATAAGTATCCAAAATCGAGTCAAAAACGAAAATGGGCTTCGGGCGAAGCTACAGGGCAATGCCAGACAAATGACCAAGTCTCAGGTTAATTTTTACCGAGCTCACTCTAGGGACCAGCTAGCGCCAAACTAACGAAAAAAACCACTCCAATTTAGACTATAATACTAGCTAAAATTTGGGTCAAACCACAATAAAGATGGTGAACATTTGGATATGTAGCACAAGGCCCACCATGGAAATTTTTTAAGACTACACAGTGAATTTTTCTCAAGATTGCTTAAAAGTTAAAACAATCATCACAAAAAGATACGATTTTGAAAAATA